CTCTCTCTCTCTCTCTCTCTCTCTCTCTCTCTCTCTCTCTCTCTCTCTCTCTCTCTCTGCACACACACGCAGAACCACATGCACTCAAACACAAACATACACGAGAATCAGGTGGTGCCTGTCATCACACAGTCTCACGCACTGATCAGATGACACCTGTCATTGGCACATGGGATACCCCTTATGTGAAAATTAGAAAATCACCGAGTCTCACGTGCTGATCAGGTGGCCGAAAGCGATGGGAGGGAAGAAGGGGGAGTGGGCGAGAGGGTGAGTACCCCTTATGTGAAAATTAGAAAACCATGTCACCATCGCTCTTCAGACGTTCCGCATTCCTCAAAAGATACTACACCATAAGCATCCCATTGCGCATCGCCATTATAACCCCTGGTCAACTCCATCTCCGATTATCACTCCCTGGATTTACCCCTGCAAGGCTAAATCAGTAGTTCCGCAGTGATATGCGATATCAGGTCTGGAAAAGAGGAGTCTCCATCGGCAGTGCAGGCAAGTTGAACTGCAGGGCTATAACTGCCGTCTTGACCCGAATAGAACGGCCGGTGATTATCACAGTGTCTGAACCTGCAAATTGGCCCAAATGCAGCTATAACGGCGGGGCGTTCTACTCAGCTGCAGGTAGAGTTTGGCCGCACTCCAAGTGCTTTTTGCCATTGCCTCTCTCATCAGTGGCTCATGGGAGGGATGATATTGAAAACCTGCACACAGAACTTCCCTTTCTTTTTTTACATCATGCCGGAAAAAGCATGTGTGTTGGCCAAGTACGCAATCTGGCAGGATTTGAAAACTAAAGCAATCAAAGTCAGAACATACGAAATTCAGAAAGACACAGCATCAATGAAATTGGAAATAGATGCAATGTGAGTGGTTTGGTGCTTTCTTTCCCTTTCGTACAGTTCACATTGAGTGTCACTGAGATTGGATTGGTTTTTTGTGCCATTACTTGTTTTTCTCTTTTAGTTTTGTTTTGTTTTTTTGAGTTTATGTATAGAAGCACTTTCTCCAATACATATATCTGTTACGATCCTGGCCAATTTCGAAGTATACAAACATCAGAAAGTACAATGCCGTCCAATTGCAAAAAGAAATGAATGAACTTTAGAGGAGAGAGAGGGAAAGAAGAAGAAAAAGAAGTAAGAAAGAAGAAGAAGATGTACTCCAGCATAGACGATTGACAAGGCTCTTCTTCCTCGCCAACCAATCTCCTCCTCCTTATCTCCTCCCCTCTTATTCAAACAAGAAATAACAATAATCATGTTGAATGGCTGAACCAGAATCACTGTCTGAATCCCACTTGTACTGCAGGCACAACATGAGGTCCACCATAGTCATGGCCACCCTTCCTCTTCCTCTACATACAGGCCGAGGCTATGGCGGAGTACTGAGGGCTCTCCCTTCTGTCCAAAGTACAACCCAAAGCAGCTATGTCGCTGCCCTTCTGTCCCCAGGTCAACTCCCTGCAGCTATGCCGCTGCCTACTCAACAGCCATGCCTGACTCTGTCCCGAGCTTCCTTGATGCGGCACTACCCCCACTAGGGCCTTCCAGATGCAGCGCCTAACAAGGTGATGAAGATGGTGTCTACCATAGCCAGGTGAGTACCTCGTCACTCTCCCTGTCGGTCCTCTTCTCCCTCCTCCTCCTAAGGTAGAAGCTCCCGGCTTCTTCCTGCCAGCAGCGCTGTAGTACCCAACGCCACTCCAGCCAGCGCTCCAGCAGCGTGTCGCCAACTTGCACACTGAAGAATGAGGCCGAGCTCTTGCCTCGGCCTCTTGATATAGCGGCCTGCTTGCCTCTTGGGCGGTGACTTCCAGGCCGCTCGGCCTCCCAAGCAACCGGTGCCTCCTCCCTTTTGGAGGGAAACATTATTGCAGATTTTGATATTACCCGTACAGGCTCTAGACTCTGACTGGATGGACTGGTACCGGCCTAGACCTAGCCTACCGCTACTGGGCGTCTAAAAATGCCAACTTTATCTTCTTCTGGTTGGCCTCGAGTACCCGGCACATCTGCCGCTACTGGGTGCGGTACTGGCCTACCTGCTACTTTAGTGTTTTTCCGCTGCTCCAGGTGCTGCGGGCGCCTGCGTCCACTACTTGAGTGTTTTCCCCTGCTGCAACCCTCAATGCCACAGCCACAGGTAAGTACCGGCCCTACGGGCCTGCCAAACAAGCAAGTACCCTTACGGGTCACACACACCCTCATGCCGACAAGCACTCAGACAGGCACGCAAGTCAACAGGCACTTACTCGTACAGAGTTAGAAAACACAGCAGAATGCGGAATCTTGGCAAGGCATCCATTCCATCGGCAGAACTTCAGAAATCAGCAGTGTTCTCAGTCTGTGCCATGGCGGGTCATTACACTGCCCCTTCCTCAAGAGCGAGGTCCCTTCGAGCGAGTAACTCAATCAAAGTCCCTGCATAATGCATCATAAGCATAAATAGCAAAGAGAGACCGGATATGTTTCGTTGGAGCGAGGGTAGCAGTGAATTTAGGCAGTTGATGACTTGTGGGCCACGCTGCAGCAAATCTTTCTTAGCGATTCAGTAAAAGTCATTCAATGGGTGGTACAGACAATGGACTTTGTACTGTCTGTTTCTTCCCTTTCCACTGTGCTCGACAATCCTATCGACCTCGTGACCGTCATTGATTGCTTGAGGAATCATTGATTCTCGATACGAAAAAGTTTCAGGTGGTTCATACGAAAACAACTTCGATGCATGAAAGACTGGGTACGTGCGTAGATGAGTAGGCACATCGATGGTGTAAGAAGGACCAAAGGAATCATCTCCTACTCGACTCAGCGCCTTCCACGGACCGTAGTACTGAGGACGAAGCTACAGTGATACACCTTCTTCAGAAAACTCAGACATCTTGACCCAGACATAAATTCCCGTTGTGAAGGGGTGAGGCTGGCGTTTTTTATTTGCATGCTTTATCATGGCACTGCGTCGCTTTTCCATGACTGCGGCAGCAACTTTGAGCACACGTTCCAACTTAGCGCTGTAGCCTTGTTGGCCAGCCATCAGGCCAGGTGGCTGGTTAGGAAACAGATAGGATAGGGGATTGTGAATCTGCCAACTGAGGTGCAACAATCATCCCGGTGGAGGAGTGTGTGGAGTTGTTATACAATCCTTGCACAATCGGCAATTCATCATCCCAAGAGTTTTGACGAGGCACAATTACAGCTGGAAGAAGTTAGGTCACAGTCTCGTTGACCTCCTCAGCCAATCCATTGGCTTTGGGATGTGGGTCAGACGTCATCTTGAGT